CGGCAGCAGGGGATGCGGGAAAAACCCATACGTCCGAGCGGAGGTGCGTGTAGAGACTTTTCCCGAACGACTCAGAGGTCCGAAGCGAGGAGAGATCCCACGGTGGGACCGGAACGAGGATCTCTTTCTCATCGGATCTGGGCCTTCATCGAGGAACCTGATTGAGATCAAAGTCCTTTTTCTGGACGTTGTTCCTCCGAACCCTGTATCGATCGCACGCAACTCTCTCGGCATCTGCCCGATTTCGGTAGACAAAACGGGGAATGCCAGCCTCGACCTCCGCTCCCCGGAAGGAGAAAATGGCTATCCTTCAAAACCCGACTGAAATACCACCTCCCAAAATGAGTCAAGTTTGGAAGCAAGGTTCGCTTACAATCGTCTCCACCTGCCGTTCTCCTCATCAGGTCGACTTCTGAATTCGTGTTCTCCGATATCGAATCAAGGAAGCATCTCTCGCGACCGGATATCCTCCGAGCGTGATGAAAGATACATAAATACTTCTCCGTGGATCACTGGTTTTATGTTGGATACTTTTCCTTTATTAGCTCAACCTCCGGCGATTTCTGTCGGAGGGGAGGGGGGGGGGGGGGAGGCGCGACTCGAAAATTGCCCAAACCTGGGGAGGACGAGATTCGCGTCCCGATGACGACAGTTTCCCCTCTCCTCCAAGACGGCGAGATCCATCGACGGATGAGTCAGATGACGGATATACAGGTTTCGAGCTTGAAGAGCTGAACAGATGGACTCGGGAGACGGTTTCTGACAGAAGGTGGACTACCTCAGCGAGAGATCCCAGCTCAAAGATGAAAGCCATTCGGTCGATCACTCAGTCAATGGGGGATAGGGTCGTCCATCACGGGCTCTGTGGAATTCGAGAGGAGATGGAACGCGGATCCACAGGAGCTCGATGGGTTTCGGCACAATCATTCCGTGGTATATCCACATATGGCTGAAGGTAGTGATCGCTCAACGAGTCTCGGTCAGTCATTGAATGCCACCTCTCCTGCCTGAGACTCCGGCCTCGCTGCGCTGTGATGGCGGAAATCCGGCCGATTCGGAAGCCGGAGTGACTGCTACAAGAATTCGCGTCACTCGGGGCTCCGAATCTTTGATCTCTGCGAATAATTTGAATATTTGAGTCGAGCTTGAGAGGCCGGGCCACCTCAATGTGACTTTCAGATGCATACCAGATTTGAAGTCAGCCGATCGTGTTCGGAGCAGATCGCGGGAGGGGTTCTCCGTCGCGAACAATTTGAGCGTCAAATCGACCGTTTCGGGCTCGCGGTCGAGACAGCCTTCGAACGAGACAAGGTCGGAAGAGTTGGAGGATACAAGGATCGTGCATATAGCGAGGAACTTGAGGGATCCCAGTCCGCCCTGTTGCGATCTGGTCGAAATCACTCATTGAGGGTGACAGCTGGTAGTTCAAGGTGGTTGCTAGAGGAATTCATTCTAATTGATAATGCTGGACTCATTAGGACTTCGACCAATCTCTCGAGACGGTCTCTGAACCTCCGACGGAAGGATCGTTGAATCGGCGAGGTGTCTGAGGGTCTTTGTCCAGGGGTGTCGAGTCTCGCAGCAGACGATTGCTATTGACGCTTCATACGTCTACGGGACTCGATATACATCGATCAAACCATTGTACGAAGCGAACGAGACGAATCTGAAGTTCAAGAGAAACCTTCGGGGGATACAAACTTCGATAAATCCATTCTGACTTTCTCCAATACGAGCATTGTATCGAGTGAATCTCAGCTCGGATTGCGGATCGGGAGTCTCAGTGGAATGGGAACCAGAGCGACCGGCTCGAGCGAGTCTCCAGCATATGAGTTCAGCCTATAGCTCCAGGCAGGCACGTTCCCATGATATGTATTTTTCGGACGAGAGGAAGGCGGCGTGAGGGTCTGGAGGATAGAGGGCTCAAGGGGAGGATGGAGAACAGTGCCCTGGGAAAGCAGGCCTGTGCTCGATTTGACTGCGCGACTCTCTGAACTCATACCTCACTCAGCTAGGGCCCCGATCCTCACTCCTCTGGTGCTGGTCTTTTGGCTCTGGAAAATCCTCGAGTCTTCTCGGAGAGAAAGTCCGATTGGACACGAACTGTCGGGAGGCCCCGGATTTCCCCTGGATGTCAATATTGACTCTCATTGAAACAATCGTCCTCTGATGTCGAAAGCACGAAATTGATTCGCGCTGGCGACCGTGAATGTTCGAAATCGTTCTTGGAGCAGGCGACTCGATGTTGAGCTCCCCCGAATTTCTCTATTCCTTCCTTTTCTAATCTTCGAGTCGGAGAATCGGCGTCTGCCTGTAAGGGGGATAGGTACTCAATGAGATACGGGTGAGTTGTCATCGACCTATTCCTGTCCTTCTGACACGAAACTTATCGCCTTCCTCGACAAGCAAGCGCAAAACTTTCGTGGAGAAATTCCGATGCCAGCTTACGTTTCTGTAGAATCTCCAAACGTCTCTGTTCGTTGTTGTACTAGAAAAACCTTATCTCGAATGCGACAGGCCGGGGCGGCAAGAAGAACTACATGAGTTGCGCGTAAATGAAGAAATCACTCGATAACATCCAGTCCGAACATGTTCTCGGCAGAGCGTGGGGATGTGCTCCGCTCTCTGATGTCGAGCTGATTGTCAATAGCAGTTGGAGGCTCTCAATAGAAGAGCCTCGCTTCCGATAAAGATATTAATACGAACACGTTGACCAGGGCTCTCATGAGAGCTCTGCGTTCGACGTTTGGCTCGGACCGAGCGGCGGGGACCGCTTGTTGCGTTTTTCCCTCTGTTCGAGCAGTGTTATTCAACAGACTGTCGTTGAATGGCGCCGAAGAGCTCGAGAATTAGAAGAGACTCGTACGGCGACCTTGCTCGGAGAAGAGCGTCCTATGACAACACAAACAGATAACTGAGAGCGTCCGATACTATTAGAAATCGATGCGCAATCCGTACCAAGATCTCACGAGAGAGAGATGGGAGTGGGAGAGATAGTTGGCTCGGATTGCTGACTGCCAGGAGGCAGCCGCTCTAGCCGCCGAACTCATCATTCAGGGAACCCGCTGTGAGTACTTCCAAAACCTTCTACTTTTTCATTATGCTGCGAAGATTCAAGCGATCCCCTCATAAATAATCGTTCCGCAACACTTCGGCGATGGAGTTCGAAGCGGAGCCCAATGAGCCACTTCGCGCTCCGTCGTTCCCTTCCGTCCTCCGATTTACGTCCGAGGCAACGTCCGCTAACATTTTTCGAGTGAAATCTGTGATCCCGAAGTATACGCTAATCTGTGAATGAGAACGGAGGTTCAGCAACGCGCTCCGTGATGATTTCGCGATAAACGACGGGACCTCCAGGGAGGCGCAGGGCAACAGAGGCCGCTGCCCGAGCGGAACGGAAACAGAAATGGCTTTGATTCCGTGATTTCTCCGAAACTCATGACACGTGCATTCCAGGAGTGCGGGTCGGCTCCAAGAATGGAAGAAAGCTCGCGTTCTTGAAACACGTCACGGCGATGTAGGTCGCGGATGTTCTCCCTGAAGACCGCCCGCCGGCCTCAAATGAGGCGTGCCGGCTTTGAGTGCGGCCTTTTGACTTGAAGTGGAGCCCTGAATTCAAGCAACGCAGGCAGATCTCTCTGCTTCCGTCGGAATTTCGCAGATTCTGCTGATTATTTCTCTCCACTGTCAAGTGTCACGCGTTAGCGGGTCTCTCGGCGCTCGAGTAGCGTGTGGAGTGGTAGTTCTAGATAGAGGACGAGAGTGACGCAGTGCTCGCGAGGGACAGATCTCCGGGTCGTTGCCCCGATCGAGCTCGAAGATGAGCGATGCGAAATATTCGGATCGCCCAGAGCAGGAGCATTCGGCCGCTGCTTAAACATTATATCAAAAAATCACAACGGAACTACGGGGCACAGCACGATTTCGAAAAAGGCGCGATTTAGAGCCACTCGTGCACGGAAGAACGTGTTTTCGGGAACTGAGTAATTTTCGCGGCATAGTTGTTCGGAGGTTCCCGCGATTTCAGCGCATAAAAAGAACGGCATCGTCATCATTCTAGTGACAAGCTCGAGATCTTCATTTGCAAGTTGCAAGCCGAGAGCGAAACGTGACCTTCTCTAGGAGGGTTTTGTCCTGACCGGTGTCGTTTGAACGTTCGGTAATCAATTCAGATAAGAATCTCTCGTCTAAGCCGATGTCATCCCCTTTTTGTTCCATAGGCCTCGCTGTATTTCCGGACACAAGGAATCGTTAATCAAAAACTCCACGGTCTAGGAGTGCTTGCGAAGCATAAAAACTAATCTTCGACAAGACGTCGGTCGCCTCTTCATTGTCCTTCCCAATCAGCCGCTCGATGATCCCACTGGAGGTAGCTCCCGTTGATGAAGTTTATTACGATGACTATAAAAATTATACCCATAACAATTTTGAGCTCTTTTACATGCGAAGGCGGAGCTTTATTACGAGGAACGATTCTCGAGTTTAGTACTATGCGATACGAACAACGGCCGATCGGGAGGATCCAGCAAGTTTCGAACCCTGGACCTCTGGCTAAGACATCCAAATTATCCTCACGGCGCTTCGCTTGATTCTAATGAGACCCATCGCGAAGCTCGTTTGAATCGATGGACAGCCCTCGCGTTAACGCTAAGAGAGTCTTTGCTAGAGAGCAACTTGTACAAACTGACCATCAGAATCTATCTCCCTCGCGCGAGCTGTAGAAGAGCCGTAGAGAAGGTTTTGTTGTTGACTGGCCTCGAACGATCGTTGAGGAAATGCCACCGGCTTAGCCAGCAGCACAGTTGTCTAAGAGCCGTCCGTCTACACTGGGAAATCAGGCACGCAGGCCGACAAGCAGCGATAGACCGCTAGACTGACTGACTCACTCCGTCGGAGAAGCTCTCCAGTCCAGATGGCCGGCGTGTCGGACCAACAACCGAGCGGTTCTCATTGTGACTGCGAAGTGTCGGGACGTGCTGCCGAAAGTGTTTTGGTGCTTCATTACAGTTCAATTGAGAGTCCCAACGAGCGGTGCGTTCGATTCTTCCTCGATGCTGCAGACTCAGCGGCACTGCCCTCGGAAATATCCCGACAATGATGGTTGTCGACAGATGAAGCGTCGGCGCGGTCTCCAATCCATCCGATGAATTCCCTGGCGCCGCATCGGGGGCCTCAAGTGTCACGTTGAATAGAAGCTCGAACGTCACGTTAAACGGTGCATCGATCGTGTCTCTCTCTCTCTTACCTCGGAACTGGAATTTCAAGCGAGCTCAACCGTTGGGGTTTAATAATTATTCCGAGTGCATCAGAGCCGCTCGGGCCCACTTGGACCCATTGTTCGGCGTGTCAACGACAACAGGAAAGACATGGCCGATATCATTATCGGGTCGTCGGCTTCGATCGTCGCTACGGTCGTCGTGCATCCGATCGACGTCGCCAAAGTCCTCATACAGATGCAGGGCGAGCTCAAACGGCGTGGACAATATATGGTCTATTACAGGAGCGTTCCTCACGCAGTCATTCAGGTGAGCTAAGCGCCCGTTTCCGATTAGCGCGGCAGATGTGTATGCACGCACTCCTACAGGAAGACCGACCTCGAATACATCTTGCCCGTTTCAATAAGCAGAGCCCAAGCATTGATCCCGCCCCGGCTGTCCTCGAATGTTTCTCCGAGCAGCGGAGCTGCGGGGATTTCGACGCTTACAGGAAGTCGAGAAAAATTTCAATCACGACAGTCACGAGCGGAGGTCAATCCAAAACTCCATGGATCCTAGTTTCGCCAAGTGAATATCTGAAGCCGACCTCAACGTTTTCGGTGGAGCTCCCGTGGAACGCTTCCCGTGGTTGTTTTACCCACGTGAGCGATCCCGGTCAAGTCTCCCAAGCCTCTCGATTGAGGACTTCAAGAGCTCCCGGACTCCGTGAAGTGAAATAATCTTCTCTGGGAACCTCGTCGCGAGTGATTGGCTCGGGGGCGTCGTACGGCGTACCTCGGAAGGAGATTCCGGGGGAGTGTATTACGGTCGCGTCTTGCTCGCATCGATTCAGTCTGGCTGAAAGCATCTCCCCACTGGTCCGGCGTATATTGAGCTATTTTAGAAGTGTCAATCTCGAAGATATCCAGCCGTCTCCTCTCCATTCGAGCAGAAAAGAAGGAGAGAGATCAGCAGCACGTATCGGCTGCTTTGTGAAAGATCAACGATGCCTCGTAGCCCGGAAATTCGGCTATATGGAGCATAATATCGAAGCGAGGTCATCCGAGAAAAATGTTCTCATGCAATTCTCATGCCGCGGAGAGCTTCAGGGCAGGAAAGTTCGGGCTTGAAGAACATGCCCGAACACGGTCAGGTGATCCGGGTACCGGCTTTGTCCAAGGTCTGCAGATTGTAGAGGAACCTGAGATTTCGGGGAACAAGGTTCCTCTCATCTGAATGGTAGGAGTTTCTTGTCTTCGGACCCTTTCCGCCCGAGCTAGAGAATTCTATCGACCGGCTCTAAAGGGGAGTAATACTTTTGGGAAACGGGTTCCAGGCGACCGCTGAATATTTGTTCGCTCTGCGCTCGAGAGACGGTTTCGCGGCGTTTATTCGCCGCACTTTCCCAGCGAGCCGTGAATTACCTCGGTTTTAATCTTAAGGGCGCCTCCGCAGCATGAATTCTCGGGAAGAAGCAACAGACGTACGTTCCTCCGCCAAGACCGCGATGGGACGTAATGTTTGTCAGACGCAGTTTCCCACGACGCCGACGCTTCAAGATGAAGAGAACCACTTTTCGAGTGCATCACATTAGACGTTCACCGCCTCGTTCAGGGAGAGGACGGTCGTCTTGAATCATTTGATTTATGATCTAAGCTGTCTGTAACAAGCGTGATAGCAACACCTGAACAACAACACTGCAACGGTACAGGCGCGAGCCTCTCCGGAAACAAATGCAGACAAAGTGTGCTCAATATGCTAAGGAGTACCGCTCCGGCTGACAAACTGCGGGCAGAGCACCTGCCGTCGCTGGAAATAGCTTCGGCGAAGCATTACTCGAAGGCGAAAATTATGGAGTGCCCGACCGTCATACCGTCTGACCGGTCATTCATCAAAATGGCCCCGGGATCCGACCCCGTCCTCTCTCGGTTCTGCCGCTCCCACTCGGCCGTTCACCGGCCTCCAGCGAAAAATCGGGATAATCTGGTCGACTGTTTGTGTGACTCCGCCTGTCGGAGCGGAAGGAAGCGATTTCGGTCAGCTTTTTGACCCGGAACTCGCCGGGAGTCGAGAACAAACAACGACCGCAATAGTGGGCGATCTCGATTTTTTTCATACGGAGAATGAATACGACATGATTCCACGGATCATACACATTTGTCTATCGAATCAAGGCCGAATGGATCGATGGTGAAGCCGAGAAGCCGCTGATACGTCTCGGCAATGATTCGAAATTCCCATCAAACTTACATATATATATATTCCTCTCACTACAGACATATGTAAGGGCAGAGCACTCGCCGGCAGAGTCATTCCTATTGCTCTCGAGCCAGGCGGTCTGTTCCGATCGAGTTAAAAATTCTCGAGGGCCGATCGGGCGGAATGGGGGAAAAAATTTGAATCGGAGTGCGATTTTGATCGTGGATCTGATTTGATGGAGGCTCCTGTTCACTATTTACGATCTCGTTTGCATCAGTGACTGCCGCGATTTATCGGGCTCTATGATCCACCGGTGAAACTCAGCCCGTTCCATAGCTCTCTCTGTCAGATATTCTCCTACTCCTTGATGAGTTCTTCGGTCTCTGGATTCAATGCCGAGTGTCGTAATTCTCATTGAACATTCGGACTCCGAAGCTGACCTGGAGAAGATGATACCCCTCATCCATAAGACGCGCGTGCGCGCAACCTCTGTATCTTGAGAGAATATTCGAGATATCGACTTTTTTTGTCCAATTCACACTGATCGAAGTCGTTCACGCGCCGGCTCCTCTGACGACGCGGGGCGCAATACCGGTCGCGAGGTGAAGCAACCATCTTGCAACTCCACGTGACATTGACGACGACACAGCTGCCGAACTCTCGTTTTAAATTAGCCTCGGATATTTGATCGGAAGAAGTTATCGATGAATTACGGGATTGCAGATGGTCCCTTGAATTAGGCACAATTGATTTGCGCGTTCGAATCTGAGGTTAAATTCACCATCCTGTTTCGATCCAGCTAATCTGCATACTTTCGATGCTGAATTTTCCGCAAAGGCCGTCTTTGTACCTATTCTCGCCCTAAGGTCTCATTCACCGAGCGGAGGTCGAAAGCCGCGGTGAGACAAGTTTGCCTCGAACGCTCACTGGTTGGAATATGCTTGTCGATTCGAGTGAGGGAGATCCTGCGACCGACTTCGGGCGGAACTATTTCTAACTTCATAAAACCGATTAGCTTAGCCCTTCACGGAGATTTCTATCGTTCATAATCACCTTGCGTGACGCGGGGACGGCGACCTTCCGAAATGTGATCTCTCAAGAGTAGAAGCGCCTCAGGTTGGTCTAGTGAGAACGGAAGACCTTGGCAGATGGTCAGATGCCCATCCGACCGCAAGTTTCGAGAGCCAAAACCTCTCGATCCGGATCTCGATGGAGCCGAGGGCTTCCCCTGATGGAAAACGACAAGATTTCCATCTCCTCATTCCCCGAAGTGATCGGCTCCACAGAGTGCCTCCGTCGGATGACCCCCGTCCGACGCGACGGAGTTTCCATACTCACCCACTTCGCCAGGTAGCTGTGGGGATCCCAGCGGGTGATGAATATTGATGAATTTTCCCGCGATGAATTACCCGCCACCGTCAATATTGCAATGGGGCATTCTAGTTCAGCTGCCTGCGGCATTTGCATCCGGCCGGACAACACACTTGGGATCCAGACCGCGATTTTCATCTGAATCGAGCCATCAATGCCGGCTATGAACACAGCGGATTCGCGCGGCATTCCGACTCTGACCGGGGACGGTGCTCGCGACTCAGGTTTTCGAATCGCTGGAACTCGGAAAAAATTCAATCCCACTGCGAGTTTTGGAGGGGCTCGGAGGCGTCATCGATTCGCGTTGCCCAGAGAGCCCATCATACAGACATCGGGGAGTCAATACGCCGCGCCAAGCAAACCGGCACTGAGCTCCTGCCGGAAACATCTGCTATATGCATGCTGCTGTGTAGGAACCATCTGCTAGCTCAATCGGAAGACCTATCGGAGCTCGCGATCGAGCCGCATAGCTCGCTAACTGGCTGCCTCGCAGGCAGACACGATAATCCCAAACAAAAGGTTCCTACTATGGAGTATAGAGGTCCGGGGTTCCTGGACGGCCGGAGGAGACATCCGCGACCAAAGTGACCAAGCATAACCTTCCTCGAGGCCGTCGCGAGGGCTTATTATGTAGAAGAGGTCTTACGCTTGTTCTAACCCATATGACGTCGTCCGCAGGTCGCCAAGTATGACGGAATCCGGGCCGTCTACCGAGGAATAATACCTGCAACGTTCTATCAACTCACATCTCAGGGACTCCGGCTCGGCCTTTTCCAAACGATCGAAGAAAGAGGCCTGACCCTGGACGAGGATATGGAAGCCTCAGTTCCTCTCAGCGCTCTATCCGGAGCCTTCTGCGGAGCGGTGAGCTCCTTCGTCGCCAGCCCGTTGTTCATGGTGAAAAATTACATGATGATCCGATCCTCGAGCGAAATCGCGGTTGGTCATCAGAGGAACTACTCGGTGAGTTTTTTGTCTGATGTACTTCAGTACCTAGAACTCGATCCGAAATTCTCATTGGCGATTTATGGATGGAATTATTATCATGCGCCCAGGAACGGAAAATTTTCCCCAGACAAATCCGAAACCGCCGTCTTTTAGTGAGTCACCTAAAGTAGTAGACTATGTACTTCGGTCATGCGTACGGTAGACGAAGGCTCCTCGCCCAACTGCTCGATGAACGTGGGAAGGGGGAGGGGGACTGGGGGCTCCAATGGAAGCGAGGTCGCTTGCTGGTTGAGTGAGTACCGACCATATTGGCTGACTCCATCCCCCCGTTCCCCCGTCGGTTCGTCCGTCCGTCTGTCTCTGTTCGTTCCTTAAAGAGGAGCTAGACCTTTATTGGATCCGCACATGACGCCCCGGCCCACAAAAACTTTTGCCACACAAAAACCAAGTCAAGAGTTTCCCTACTACTACTGCCGCTGCTCCTTCTAGTAGTATAGTAGTGAGCGGAGTCAACAACAGGGAGACGGTGGACCCTCTCTCCACTCTGAACTCTGAAGGAATGTGTCAGAAGCGTCCCATCGCTTTCCGATCCTGAGCATGCTTCTCGTGTTCGCTCCGGTGCAGAATGAAAAAGTATCGCGCCGTTCTCCTGCCTAGGCCTCGGTTCCATTCCGTCAGGAGACCAAAATAACGAAATCCGGCCGGAGTGACAGGCTCCTCCTCATCTGATGATCTCGCTCCGTGAATCACAGAACCATGATTCTCGATAATTTCGAAGGCGACCGTTCTGTGGCGCTTCCATTCTCACCAGCCAATCAGAAAATCAATCAGCCACTGTAAAGCCGCTGGGAATCTCCGGAGAGCCGGACAATTATCGGAGCTCCATCCGTAGAACGGGGTCCTTCCAGCAATCAGCGGTCTTCGGAGATCGGTCCTCGCTTTGAAGAATTTCCATCTTGCTAGATGGTATGAGGAACCGAGTCGTATTATCGTGAGACTGAGAGCACTTCACGATTCCGGAGTTCTCCTCTGATTATGGAGGAACCATTGACTTTCGGAAGGTAAGAGAAGTCTTCACGGTGACTGATTGCTCGTTGTCGTCGTATCGACGCAGAGTCGAACCGCGGAGAAAGCTCAGTATTTGTTTCGATTCTGTGTTCATTATCCGTTCGAGACACATATCGTTCAAGCACCGCAGCGGGTCGCTCGGAGGTTCGGGTCTCTTCTATCGGGAGTTGCGGTGAAAGCCCGAAAAGAGCACGCAGAAGTGTCAGTTTTTTTGGTCCTGAGCGCTGCCATCGATTTATACTTGGTATATCACGGTAATTGAGATCACGAGCCAAAATGGAGAAGGCGACCGATCAATTTGGAGCGCAGCTCGAGGATGCTCGCGCCATCCTGATAATAGTTCTGGGGATTATATTGGTTAGGACAGTGATTAAGGATATAATGGTTTGAGAAGGAAAAAGAAGACAAAAAAGAGGTATTCTAGCATTAATTCGAATTTCAAGTCAGCCATGTCTGTCAACAACACGCGGAATGCCCCGGTCGTAAGTGCCGCCATTCTTGAGGTCTATTTCCAAATGTTCGGAGGAAAACTTCTGCTGAATCCGCAGTTCGTCCTCTTTCCCGTCCTTACTGGTTGAAATGTGTTCAATGGTGTCTTTGAGCGGCGCTCTGAGCAGCGTCGATCATCGAGTATCGCGTCTGATTGTGAAATAGATGCTGCAGAAATGGAGAGCTTCTCTTGTGACTAAATTCCTCTGCGTGCATCTCTGCATACCCGTTCAGAGCTGACATCGTGTTGAAATCAGAATGGCAGTGACACGGGCCTACAGGGAGTACGCGAGCTGAAGCACCATCAAAATGGAATGTGTTGACGAGAGAGTCAATCATCTTGTCGGCGAAGATCATGGATATCTGCACATCGATATCATCGACGGGAGAGAGATAAGAGATGAATAGACCTTGAAATGAATTTGTACACGGTGGCCATACACGATGGAGCCTTGTTCTCTGGAGGAAGCGCCATCGAGAGGCGTGCATTTCATGAGGTGTATCCTGTTTTTCCTGCCTAATTCCGTGATTCTCGGTCCCCCGTGAGAATGAAGCTGAGGCCTGAGCGAGGGAAGGGCACGATACTCTTCCATTCCATGCCGAGGCGCGCGCTATGCGCATGGTCTTGGTCGGGAAGCGATGGAACAGTTCTGACACTCTCGTTCAAGCTACAAATTACAATCTCTTCTCCTGGAAGCGCATCTTTTTTTCTCTCTTTCTGTTCTCTCTCGGGTTGCTTGCCAGATCAGCGTCGCATGGTTTTTGTGTGGAGTTAATGCCTGTCAAATGCCAGGATAATAATATTGTCCGGGCCCCGAGGTCTCCCATTGACTTTGCGCGTCAGATCCAGCTCATCATACAGTCGACACCACCTGCTGGCAGAGAACTCAGACAGACACCTTAAAAAACACGGTGCCGACCCGACACCCTGCTCTGAAAGGGAAAAAACTCGGTCGGAGGGTCATCGCGCTGAATATCGCGAGCCGAGTTGACGGAGCTTGACGAACTCGATAGAAAGTTTTTTCTTTTTTCCAGAGTATGCTGCACGCACTCAAGGACATTTACTCCACTCATAGACTCCGTACGGGTCTCTGGAGAGGAACTGTCTCCAACATGTTACGGACCGCCGTCGGTTCTTCGCTACAGCTGAGCACTTTCGTCGGCATGAAAAATGTACTTTTTATGTCGGTGGACTACAACGAAAGGTAAATGGAACGGCGATGTGCGTTCAACCGCGGCCGAGTTTTTCCACCTTGTTATATCCACTCGGGACAGACCTCGCTGGGTTTATTACATTCCTGGAATTTCTCTCGCCGAAGGTTCATGCTGATAAACACCTTGCTCGCGGCTCTGGTTTCGTCGCTGATCACCTCGCCGATCGTAGCCTCTCTGGATCTCATTCGCGCCCGCATATACATTCAGCCTCTCAAAGAGAATGGGCGTGGACAATATTACAAAGGTAATTATTATGGATCGCTGTGCTTTCGAGGGGTTCCCGGCTCCTCCAGTGTACCTGCTGGCCCGTCGTCACGGCAAATCCCTGAGCCGAAGTATCTAAAATCCACCTGTGAACCCGCTGAAGGCGGCGCACAGCTCTCCATCCCAGGCTGAGAAGTTTCCGTTTTCTCTTTCGCAACCGCTCACTGTCCGATTCAGGTATCTGGGATTGCGCAAAACAGATCCGAGCAAACGAAGGCTTCGCTGGTTTCTGGAAAGGCAGCACAGGAGCCTTCATGTACGTGCTCCTCACGTCGATGATCACGCTGGTTTCCTGGGACGAGCTGAAGCATGTTCGCCACGAAAGACTCAATTCCCGTGATTACGTGATCGATTTTGGATACCAATGAGGCTGACCGAGTGACTTCGCGGCTGTTCGGCGAACTGAAGATGTGCTGATCCGAGTCGGCACCAATCGTTCGTTCTTTCGCCCGATCGAGGGCCAACCGATGCTCTGCCGCCCGCCCGCGAGCCAGTCCGACTGACTGACGACAGACTCGAGCTGCCGTGCCACCCAACGCCAAGAGTTTTGACGCTGACATCGAGTACGCTTAATCTACGCCGGAGTCCGAGTCAGCTCATTTCTCCGATCTGTCCGCAGCGCCTTGATGAAGCTTGCGGAGACATTCGAGAGCTTCTTATTTTTTGATTCCGGGGCCTATGCGCTCTCGATCGACTTTCGGTTGGCGATGTTTGAAGGTAGGATGCTATGAGGAATTTAGGGGGTCGAGAGTCGTCGGGGCAGCTGGGCGGGTGGGGGCTCGGTTCGGGTCAAGTATTACAAAATTTATTGCCGCGAAGCTTTCTCTCGTTTGCAAAAGGCAAACAAAAATTCGGCGATGCCATGAATCTTGGCGTTGTGAGGCGAAAAAAATGAGCCCCCCGGTTTTCCCTCGCGAAGGTCTCTGCAACGCCGAGAGGAGGCCCTTTGTTCTTTCTAGAATCAATAACCTTTTTTATACAAGGTCTTCTTCTTTCCTCTATCCTCAGCTCCGGTCGAATAAAAGGAAATCCTTACGCACAGGAAACATTGTTTTTACTCCTCGAAGGTACCTACAGTTAGCAAACACCGTGCGATCGACTGCATTCGCACATTTCGGCGAACAAAGGAGTCTCTTGATTTTGATTCGGCGTTCCCTCGAGAGCTCTCTCGCGACCGGAAGAGCGGGAAACTCCAGGTACGAGCGACAAATCCAGGAACCTCTCATCAAGCCCAGCAACTTTGTGCATCGCCTTTGTCGGAAGGTCGAGAGCCGGGTCTCGGTCGTGATACGAGACTACTCTGGGAATTCCGATCGTTTTTCTCTCTTCTCGGAGTGAGGAAAGCCGAAGCCGACAAAGAGAGCCGCGTATCTCCCGCGAAGACTCCCCAGGCTCCACAGCGGAGTCGTTCCGTCGGGTATCGATTCGATCGCTGCCGCACAATCTCCGAAAAGATGTCGGTCGTGTTCGCGAACAACCAAAGCTGAGCCAAGCAGATCTGGGGCGGCGGCCGAAAGACCCTGAACGAGAGACCTTCATCTTCATTCGACAAAGTTCGCTCCGAACAAAGTCACCATCGAATGGATCTAATGAGAAACGAATGCGATTAATTTCAACGTAGTAGGATCATCATGAATCGATATCTCCGTTCCTGGACTGACGGCAGTACGCCACGGCCACTCGGAGTTCTTATTCCTGCCTCCGTTCCTGGGACCCGAGGATTCGTTCGAACGGTTCGACCGGAGTCCCCGCGCATACGGCCGGGGTTCGACGCGGGAGCCGGAACAGGTCTCTTATTCTCGCCATTGTGCGGCAACGCAGGTCGGTATCGCGGAGGTCCGCTCGCTAAAGACATTCGCCATTTATGGCCCTGGCCGGAGCCACTTCCGATATTGCCGAGTTCTCCGGCGTCTGAGAGAGGGGGAATCGAACTGAAAAAGTCTTGTCTTGCAATTTTGCATCGGACAATACCTACCTAGCGACTCAGCAACCGAGACGAGTGCAGGCGGCGAGCGGTCGAGCGATACGGAGAAACTTCTTTTACGGAGTCACTTCGCCTCAGGAAGCGGCAATGGATCGCTAGCTCGCGGGGCGCGCTGTTGCGTCACGTAGTTTTCCTTCGCTGCAGCTCGTCGAGGTCAGAGTGTTTGTGTACGTTCTCGCTTATTTGTCTGCGTCGGTTTCCCGCCGCCTTCCGATGTTTGCATATTTTCCACCGAACGTATAAACTCTCGCAGCGGAAAACGTGCGAATCCGTCGATTTGAGGAAAGCGATTTCTCGCGTCATTTGTCGAAAACGCTTCAACATCTGCGTGGATGATTCGGAACGACGACGGGCTCCGCAATAGCAGTAATGTCGAACGGATGAAGGTCGAACGTTCAGGGGGAGAAGTTCTCCTACACGATGTTCTTCGACCACGAGGCGCTCCATTCTGCCGGAATGACCACGACGAGGTAAATCTGCGAAGGCGGGCTGCATTGGCGACTTATCAGCACACCGGCTGACTGACTGACCGAGCTAGCGACCAACCGACCGACCGACCAACCGACCAACCAACCGAAGACTGACTGACTAGAGGGAAGCTAGGCGGGTAGGATGAACGCCGCGAGGGATTGGCCGAGATGGCTAGGTATGTAGTGGTAGAAGTTGGTTTTTGGTGTTTCAGGTTAAGTGTGACACTTACTAACGGTGAGTTTTTTTGTTGGCGCGGCCAGCGGCACCGTCTAACGAGAGAATAAGTTTGGCATCGAAAAGACAGATGGTTTCCAACTGCACTTATGTTTGAGTGTGATAGGAGGACGACGGCGTCCTGGCGGCCCACTACCAACCCGGCTGGTTTCAGCCATAAATCTTGCGAGCCTGCTTTAAGCTCTTCTTATGAACGCGGCGGGCCTAGTTATGAGGGCCTTGTTTCGGTTCTGATTGAAGATGATCGATTCCGTCCGTGGCGTCGCCAACGCTGGAACTGTTTCCGGATTGGAGATGGAAGAAGGAGTCGGAGGAGTAGGAAGACAAATAGAAGGAAAAGGAGAAATAAAGAACGAGCACTCGGAGCGAGATGGATTCCGGCTGCTTTTAAGCGAAGACCAAATTGCTTCCAGCCTTTCAGAAAGCCATGCCGGTTCGGAGACGACCGTTTTGGTTCTGATCGAGCAAATCAGGTGCTTTAACCCTTCTCCATCCCTACGCTTCGTCTAAAAGGGTTGTCAATCAAAATGATCTCTATTGTGTTCGATCGTTTGATCGGAAGACCGGTCCCACCGGAGTCGGGCATGATCCTATAGCGCCAACCTCAAAACGAGATCCATTCGGATCGGGACTCTCCTTATCTGGACTCCGGTCGTTCACATTGCGTCGGAGTTCTCAGAGGTCATGGGTGAAGAGTTCTTTCCCGGGCAAACCCTCTGGATAACTGCTTTGTTGATGAAACAAGGTGTGAATCCGGGCAGCTGTTCTGATGAGAACACTCGCCCGACAAGGAGGCTCGCGGGGTCGAGTGTGTTTTTAAGCAACTCGAGGTGCTACATTGTCGGATATCTTGTCGTATTGTTGTGGCCCGAACAATAACCATCAAGCTGCTCGCAGAGACGCACAATAACTTCGGGTGCAACACTCCCAAGGACAACAAGTGGACAACATTCGCCTAGGAGGTCGTCTCCGTAGAGCTCTTTCTTCTCTGGCGAGCTTCCTGCTGTTAATGATCTATTCGCTCCGTGATAAGCAGCGAGAGCTTGAAGGAAAGTAGAGCGAAGAGCGGGCGAGAATTGTGGAGACAACGACGGGAACGTGGGGGAAAAGGGGGGGGGGGAACTTCCCCGACCCCCTTCCCGCACACCTCTTGCTTTGCTTGGCTGAGTACACGGCTATTGTCCAGCAACGCTTTTTGGAACGTTGTCGGACGCAGAGAGCCGAATCGTTTCGCCTTTCGACAACTCCACCCACAGTCGTCGGATCTTGTGGAGATGATTGATGGAGCAAGTTTGGCTCCTTACGCGGTGCCGGCCTCACTGAGTTGGCAGCGTTTCGTCAGTCGGTCTATCTATCTATCTGCCAAGCGTCGTCATGGGCCTAGCTTTTTAGCGGCCTAATTTTGCTCGGCAACTACTTTTTTCCAGGTCTCCCCCTACACTCGCTCAGTCACTCAGTCAGTCAGCTTCTCCCCTTCTCCCCCTCATCCCCGCAGAGTACTCGGGGAAGATGCAAAAAGTTTTTCAGGGAGGTATTCTCGCTACGACTACCTCCCTCCTGATCTCCATGACGAACTCGACGTGGAACCCCTCTGAGAGCCTTCCGTTTCTGAGTGAGACGACTCCGTCGACGACGACGACAACAACAACGTTTCCATGTCTCTGTCGCTCATTTCGGTTTTCGACTCTACTGCACGTCTCCCCCCTCAGACGACGGCTCTACCGGACTCAATGCCAAGTCGACGATGATACCCTACCTGGCAGGATCCACGAAGCGAGGCCTAGATTTCGGCCGCTCTGTATGCTTAACGAGCCACGACCTGTGTGGCTTAGCCTGCAGGGTGAAGGGTGTGTCCTCGGGAAGCTTTTGTCTACTCTCTGACGGACCTATCGTGGTAGGAGCCATCCTCCCAGATTATGAGATAAGTCGCCGCTCTGTCTCGAATTCTCGACGACACGATCGGTGACCACGGGCGGGTTCCTGCCGGCGACTGCTTGAAGCCGTATGTGTGCCACTCGTCGGTGGGTCTCCGCCCCCAATCCCTCCCGGTAGGTGAGTCGATTAACGTAACGCGTCGCTTTGACCCGACGCGTCAAGGGGAGATCATCGCAGAAGAAATTTTGAAAATGGAGGAGAATCGAATTGAACAAAAAATAGAGCAATACAGAAACTTCCAGCTCTCCGATTACATAAGGAATACATACGAAAACGTGCTACTCGCATCTGCGCACTTCCGACCATGGTAGCAGGGGAGGCAGCCTCGAGCATGAACGTCATCTATCAGGTTGGTCCGCGGAGCGCAACATCCGGAATAGCGGAGAGTGTTACTCATTCCCCGTGCTCCGTACTCCCATTCGCTCGGGCTCCCAGTCCGCCAACAAAAAGCCCTCGAGAGACTGCGCTGAACAAAAACCGACGTTTCCGTCGGGTATAACTAAGAGACAAAAGACGCAACGTCCGGGGGGAGGAACTGTGATCCTATTTCCAGAATCAAAGTCTGTTGTTTTTTAAATGTCCGATGATCGAGCTCGGCGGCTCTCCGAATGCTCCCGCACTCCAGCATCCGGTGTCCTCTCCGAGCGAAAGTGACGGAGGGGACGAATCCCAGAGGCTCGAGAAACTCGATGAATTGTATATATCAGTCAGGTGGTAATCCTACTCCCTCAGGTTATTCGTAGG